CATGTCGGAGGGTCATGTCCATATATATATATATATATATATATATCCATTTTAGTTGCTCAACAAATATTAAGGCCAAAAGAAGCAGATGTTTCACTTCGCAAAGACCACAAAGTGCAAAATACAAGAAATACAAATATACACAAAAATTAAAAATGGTAATTAGACTGATATGGCATTTGATAATTGGAATAGTAACCGGAATATCAATTGTAGTTCATCAAATAAGCATAAGTCATTTCTGAAGTGTAGCAAGAGTTGTTCATCATTGATGTATACTGATAAGAATTGTTTTCTTGTGACGTCATCGGATTTGACGAATAGGGATATAGTACTGAATTGACTGGCTTCGAAGAGTTCAAAAGATTATCGGCTTCATGGCAGGTTTCTAGGAGGTGTCCGTTTGATTCTCCAGAAATGTCCGTTTGATTCTCCTTGTTTTCTGTCGAGTAGTTGTTCCTAATTGCTGGATAATGATACTGCTCGATATTGTGATTTTATGGCATCATTGGATACTGAGAACAGACTTGTGGCACTGCGTTTACTGGACTTGAAGAGTTTAAAATTTTGTCGACTTCAAGGACACGACTAATAGGATCTTGTCTAAAATTTGAATTGTCTTCCAAAATTGGTTCTTGAGTCTTCTCCTTTTTCTTCTGTTCCATGCCTTTTCCACCATATCTGACTGTTGCATACTTGTTGTGCTGGGCTTTCCATTTTCCAATACTTTGATCTTGATAAATGGTCACCGGAATAAATTGCGCCATTTCGAGTACCACATGAGCAACAGTTTCCTTGGAGGCCAGATTGGTTATGGTGATCACTGGGACGTACTTTTGCATTGTCTGAACATACACGACGTTCTCTAAGTTCTGATCTCGGCTTCTTGATGAGATCTTGATACTTTCGAAATGCAAATCCAAATCCTTTCCATATCTAATGCGACCAATCGATTCAGGAATGTGGAATTCTTTGGAGCTTCTTTTCTTCGATTCCTCCCAATGTTGAGTCTTCTTGTCG